GAAATGAATGATCTGAATAATTAAAAATGTAATGAGAAGTTGCCTTTATCAACATAGTAATGCAGCAAATATATATTTAATTTACTTAAAAAAAATTAAAGGAAAATATTATTTTAATTTGTCATTAAAAAAACTGACTTCCACATTCACAGCAAAAAATGACAGACAACAATGCAGGCAAAGCTCTGCCCCTTTCATCAAGGATGCATCCAGAGGTGACTTGTGTGAACTTGAGGCAGCCAGGTATCCCAGAATGCATTTCAAAATAGTACTGTTATTGTGTCATGAAATGCCGTTCTAAAAGTATTTCAGTTGAGAATGTAGTTGTTTAAAACTCAAATCTGCGGTTATTTATAAATATAGCGCCTATTTGAAAATGTGCTTCAGGCTCCAGGCGATCATCGGGCGCTCAGTGCTCATGTATCCTGATGAAAGGAGCTTATCCTCGGTTAGTTCTTCTAACATTTGCCGCTGGCTCTGGTGTCTCTGTAGTGGTTAAACATGAGGTAAAATTTGTTTTGGGTAAATCTAACAGGCAATCTTTGATCTCATGAATCCATTATTTATTCTAGGTCATATAATTTTAGCTGAGCACAAAGTTATGTTTCATAAATTATTTATTTATAATAATAAGTAATACAATGCTGACTTTGATGCATACATTTGACCAAATTGTTTGCTTTTGTCTCTATTTCCTATTACATAAGTCTCTCATACTTTATACTTATTTATTATAATGGCTATTATTGTTCATTAAAACTGACATTTAACAAAAAAGCCAGAGTTGTGCTTGTCATATTTCATTTTATTATAGGCTATACAGTGAAGATAATCAGAGTATATGTGCACATATTACCTAAACCACCATTTTTGTGAGCCTATTAATATTTTAAATGAAACAGAAAAGAGTCAATGCAGTTTGATATAATATTTAGTTTCACTGTAATGCATGTACGTTCCCTGAACTACATTTTTGTGGCTATTAATATGTTTAAATTAAAACTAAAAGAGGTAGCGGTGTTTGATATCACATTTCGTCGTATTGTAAATGCATACAGTGAGGATAACGGGAGTAGCCAAGGCGAGAAGAGTGACGTTATCAAATACTCTGCAGTTCCATTTGCAGAATTACCGGACTTGCGTTCTCCCATCCTCGGGAGTTCGCACTCCTGAATCGAACTTGTTTAGTCCGAACTGCCAAGGATGCGAGTGTGATGTAGGGATTTTCTTAATATGAACAGACACTGATATCAGCATTCACAAGGTTTGCTAAATCACCCAGCACATGAATCCCATATTCTTGGTTGATTTCCTGTCAGTATAGTAAACTCATCTACTCATGAGATCGAAACTAATTCGATCAGGAGACGACAAAGCTTTCTTGGTATCAAGGACTGAAAGAGTTCATTCACAACCTATAGAAACCCCATGTCTTGGGACCCACCAATGGATGGAACCATTATGTCCAGAACAGGAAAATAGTTAAATAATGCCCTCAGGCAAGCACAGGATATACAGCGTGACGCCACATGACTATCCCATGTTTAACCACCTGCTTCCTGCATGACCGAAACCCTTACTTTC